TGGATCTTCCCTGGACATGGATCTTGTTTGAAGTACTTGATACCTGGAGATGGATCTTTTCCATAGTGCTGGATTGCCCTTCCTCGGTACTGGGTGACCTATGGTCAATGATGCATATATTCCGGGATGGATCTTCCCTGGGCCGTATGGGCCATATACAGTATCGAGTGCTTAAGCATTAAGAGTATGAGCACGTGAGGCTGACCGTGTGGTGCATCACATACAACATGTGCATTAACATGTAGAGATAGAAGAGTATATTCTTCACATTGTTCAGATCTGATTGATTTCATTGCTTTGAACTATCTATTTAATTTGAAAGCATGCCTATGTTTCTGCACTGTTATTTTCTATTGTTAACTGTACTAGTTAAGATCGTCACTACCTTTCAGTCCAAAGGTTTGACTTGTTACTTACTGAGTTAGATGTACTCACGTTACTCCCTGCAGCTCGTGTGCATATCCAAGCGCTTCTGGTCACAGTGGCGGCTGGTGATTGAGGCATCAGAGTTCGGAGACTATCGAGGTAGCTGCATGGCATTCGCGGGCCTTGATTCTCCTTTATCTTTATCTCTACTTCAGTTTTCATTTCCTAGATGCTGTAGTGGACTGTATTCCGGTTTAGACGCTCATGTACTCTGTGACACCCAGGTTTTGGGATAGACTGTATCACATTTTGGGTTGTTTCTATTTGAAAAGGCTTTTTATCTCAAATATTAATTGCTTGCGCCTTTATTTTTAAAAGCATTTCACTGTGTTGAAATGTTGAGTTGTGGCTGACCTAGTTCCACGATAGGCGCCATCACGATGGTTGATTTTAGGTCGCAACAACAACGAAGTGTGTGTGCGTGTATATATATATATATATATATATATATATATATATATATATATATATATATATATATATATATATATATAGGTATAGCCGCATATATATAAGAACACGAAGCGCTAGGACCACATGGTCGAGTTATTTTGGGGATAGAATTGTGAAGAAACAATAATCTAATTAGTATATATAATTGATAATCATCATATAGATCTTTTTGTAAATTGATTTATCGACTTATAACTTAGATGCATCGATGAATATTAAAAATAAAACAGTTCGACCTATATCGATGAATATTAAAAACAAACTGTCTCGACCTATATAGATTAATCTGTGTCATTCATTATTAGTGATGAATGAATGAAATATAGAAGAATTAATACTAAACATCTTTGACATGTATATATATATATATATATATATATATATATATATGGATCACAAATTAAAGAAACGAAAGAAGTTATTAGCATCTAGTAAACGAGTTAATAGGCCAAACATGGTCAAACTTTTGAATCACATTAATATTTACTATCTAAATAATATAAATGTAATCCGTTAATACTTTATTTTGTAATACAAATAATGAATACACTAACATATACTATAACATGCTATATACAAATAATGCTATATTATCGATTAATGAATACACTATATATATATATATATGTGTGTGTGTGTGTGTGTGTATGTGTGTATATATATATATATGTCGAGTTTTTAAAATTTGTTCTTGTAAATTGAACTTTTAGGGTACGGGTTGAACTTTTAGGATAGGAATTGAACTTTTTGGATATGAATTGAACTTTTAGGATATAAATTGAACTTTTAGTTTATGTTTAAACTCTTAGGATATGAATTGAACTTACAGTTTATAATTAATTAGGTTTACTATAATTTAAATTTGGTGTAATAAGGAAAAATTAATTATCTTATTTAACTAAAAAAGATTTAATTAATTTACAATTGTAGAATAAATTAATTTGTTCTTGTTTTATTTGTATAGATGGAACATCATACTTGGATTTACAATAGGAATTATCCTAATCGACGGGGATCGCGGGAGGATTTTGTAGAAGGGGTTGATAACTTTATTTGACATGCAAGTCACTTTCACCATACCAAATTGAAGAAGTAATTAGGTGCTCTTGTGCCATGTGCGATTGTGTGAAGTTTAAAAAACCGGAGGAAGTTAAGCTTCATCTTTATAGGAAAGGGTATATAGAGAATTACTTTGAGTGGACTAATCATGGAGATATCGATGGTAGCCGTGGAATATTTCATAACATGGTTGTTGGTGAAAGTAGTAGGTCGGTGGAGAATACAAAGCATGGCTCTAGAATTCAGGATATGGTTGCGGACGCTTTTGGGATGCACTCCGGGGGTGAGCCCGATGAAAATATTGAACAAACTCCTAATGATGATGTAAAACGTTTTTACGAAAGTTAGAGGAAGCTAGCCGTCCACTACGTGAAGGAAGTCCATACTCTGAGCTGTCTGTTGCAGTTAGATTACTAAGTATCAAATCTGATTGGAATATTTTCCTATACACTATATGAAACTATATTATCCCCCCTTCCCCCCAACTCAAGTTTTACTATAATTACATATTATATACCCAATTACCATTTATGTACATTTCTTCCTGTTCTTATTCCTCTTAGTTACTTCTCCTGGACTTTAGGCCATCCAGCTGCAGCCACCGCGATATTCCGGTCCATCGCCTAGAAAAGAACAAGTCATCTTTCAACCTCTTCCATGTTCTTGGGTTGGTCCAGATTTCAAATTCGAGAATAGAAAAGTTCCCACTGGATCTAATCTGCATTTTAAATTTTTACTCTCTTCTTCAAAAAATCACCTCCATTAACGTCTGTGCTTAGCTTGATTTTCAATGAAGAAGAAAATAGCTTCGAAGAACAGCCCTAAAAAAGGCAAAGGAGCCGATATTCCTACATTTGATTTGGGTGTTTTCTTAGAGAATTCACCCAAAAAAAATATTATTTGTTTGAATTGGGTGTTGTTGCAAAAAATTAAAAATTCTCTCTACGTCTCACTCTATCTCTCAATCCCTAATTTCAGTAATGTAAAGCAAAGGAAAAGAGAGCATCAGTTCCACCACTGACGGCCATTAAAAAGCTTTGAAGCTTTGAATTCGAATTTGGATTTTGAAAAATCATTATTTGTTTGGATTGGGTGTTGTTGCAAACAATTGGGAATACTGTTTGAAGTTTATATCTCAATTTTGAGGGTGTTTTGGTGAAGATTAAACTTCATTTTGGCTGAATTTCAGGTTGAAACTCGAAGAAGACGAAGAAGAAGACATGACATACATTATACTTACGAAATTGTAGTAAAGTTGTAAAAAAATTGTATTTTGTTGTTTATATATATATATTTGATTTAAATATTGTATGAAATTTATTTTTACTATGTATAAATTAGATACGAAATATACAAAAGACATATTGTATAAAAATTGTATTTAAGTGGTATTATATTGTAGTTGTATATAACTAGGTAGAAATAATGTATGAAAATTGTAGATAAGTTGTATAATATATAATTAGTTGTATAAAATTTGTTTTTACCATGTATAAATTAGATATAAAATATACAAAAGATATATTGTATAAAATTTGTATAAAAATTATATTTGTGTAATAAAGAATAGTGTCAAGAACAGAGAAGTGGTTGAATCTGAAGCCATTTTCATCTATTTTCTTATAAAATTAAAACTTCTTTTGTAAACTTTTAAAAGGGTGTATTGGTATTGATTTTTGACTTGTTTATTTATAGAAAAAATATGAAGATGTGAACAGACTAATTTTAAGTGTGAAATTGAGGCGCTGCATATATGATGATTGGTATTATAATATAATTCGATATTTTATCCCTATTAGTGTTGCTAGTGTTGCCATTGAAAAGAAAACTGAACAGTCGGTCACAATATGAAAGCTCCAACTACTTATCTATCATCAGGAATAGTCTATTATTTCCTTTTGCTTAGCTGCTCCTCGTGGAAGTAGTTGCTCCATTCATTCCAATCTACATTTACATGAATATTGTTTTTATTATGTGGCGTGACAAAATGTTAGATATTATTCATTTATGCAAATACACAATTTACAATTATTCGAATTCAATGAACTACTCAACCTTTATACTTTGACGTAATATTTTTCCTATCGCCAGAATCAACATGAGTAAGAGATAATAATTACACTGATGTTTGCTCATAATGCATACTGCCAAATATTGCTGAAGTTTAAGCTTTTATCGAATTCAGATGAGTCTAATATATTCCTTCTTTCTTCTTTTAATTAAAATTAATTACTTTTTTGTGGTTCCAAACTTAGTAGGACAGCCACTTCTGCTCTTGCAAAGGACAGAGATATTTGGCAAAACAGGTTAACCTATTTATTTGGCACGAAATGACATCTATTTTCATATTTTATACCCTGTTCCAGAGATATTGTAAATTCTTGTGAAAAAAAAAAAGAAGTTAACCTACTTCTGATTTTTTTTGTAGAAAAGGTTAACGTTAATTAGTAGAATGAACACATAATCTGAACGCTTAAAACTGGTGATTATTGATTTTCGTATAGGAAGATTACCGTATTTAAGGCGGAATAAAAATATGGAAAGAAAAGAGGAGAAAAAAAAAAGGACGAGGGTATAACTAAATCCCTTAATTGAAGGCACTAATAATGGATTGAGAGCCTTTTAAGGTGGAATGTATATATTTTGTAAACAAAACTTGTGTAGGTAGGGTAATTTACTAAACATGAACATTTAAGGTAATAAAGTTTTCAATAGTGTATAGGAATGAAAAAAATCCCAATTTAAAATAATATAGTCCAAATAATTTTATGGATATAACCAATAAAATTTTAGATGCCTACATTACTGATAGTGTAAATAAAAGTTTAGAAGTTGGTTACTTGCCATATTTACAAATGAAGTGACTAGATAGACAATGTATAAAAATTAAACTCATATATAATATATTATTAAAATAAATATTTTTCATCATAAATTATTACTTCAATATGTATTCTCAATGTAATTGCCTAATTGGTGCGTTTTTAAATACTTATAGTGTAAACACGTGTAATCTTGAGTCTTTTTCATAGGATCATAGTTACGAAACTCAGTCGCAAGCTTGCTAAAAGGTGTAACAAAAAGAATGGCGAGTCGACTGGTCATCTTCCTCTCTATCTCATCCCTTCTCCTCTTTCCTCTCTTCATCACCCCATCACTAGCCAAAACTCCAACATCCTCCGATGACGATGACGAATTCCTCAGCTTCCTCGAAGACTACGAGGAATCAACCGAGCCAGACTTCGAGAATCATGACGAAACTGAGTTCCCTTCAGCGCCATTTGATCACGCGGAGGAGGACGAGGATCTTAAGATTGATGACAAGGATGTTGTTGTATTGACTGACAGGAATTTTAGTGAATTTGTGGATGACAATAAGTATGTGATGGTGGTGTTTTACGCTCCCTGGAATGGCCATTGTAAGGCCCTGGCTCCAGAGTATGCGGATGCTGCAACGGAGCTGAAGATGGAGAATGTGGCGTTGGCAAAGGTTAATGCCATTAAGGAATATGAGGTGGCTGATAACTACGATGTCCGAGGTTTTCCTACGATTTTTTTCTTCGTTGACGGTGATCCTGAACCTTATAATGGCCGAAAAACCAAGTATGCCTTCTTCATCACTGTCTCTTTACTCTGAGAGAATTCTGTATGTACTTGTCTAAATATATTCAACATATACCTACATAATAGGAACGTACATACATATTCATATATTCTTATAGTATTTTGAAAGTAATATCCGAGCATATAATGCATCGGACAACATGTGACAATCCATGAAAACAGGTGTTAGGCAATTCTGTTCTATACATACAACTGTTAATTAGGTAAGAAAACTCAAAATGGGACTTCAAGACTTTATTCTGGCAATTTCGGTTTTTGCATAAATGGAAGAGAGAAGACAATTAAAAGTAATGTATGTTTAGCTGATTATATAATTGGCATCATTAGTGTATTTCTGGCTTGGGCAATCAATTGTGAGACTTTCAGTTATCATCACGGCGTGTGGAAATGGGTCGATATTGAACAGAATGGATATAGATGATTCGATAACTGATTAAGGATCAGGCTTAGCTGATCAAATGATCATCTCAAAGTGGAGATATAAACGGTAAAGGTGGGAATTTTTCTTCATTCTTGCAACTTCTCATAACTTATCCTACTTCAAGCGAAAAGTTAGAGATGACCATAATTCAATTGACTCTGTCACACTCTTTTAATTGGTTCATAATCGTTGTAACTTGTAGTGTCTGAAGCAGATAAATTCCCCTCATCCTTTCTTTCTTTGCGGCTTCTGGCTTATCAATCAGTCTTGTGTACTGAAGTGAAGCTGATGAGGAATTTTACCTGTAGAAATGCAATTGTGACTTGGATAAAGAAGAAAATAGGACCTGGCATTTACAATATAATGACAACAGAGGACGCAGAGCGTGTATTAACCTATGAGGACAAAGCTGTTCTAGCATACCTCGACTCCTTGGTGGTATGTTTTTCTTACTCTATCTTGATTATTGATTTCCTGTTCTTATTGTATAGTTTTACTGAGCCTTGCAAACTTTCTCCTGGTGATAAGCATGCATTGCAGTTTTGATATTTTTCTATGGCTAAAGAAAACTTGAATTCTAATGCTCATATTTTCATGTCGGATTCATGACATTTGATTTTTGATAGTTAGATGGAACTTGACGGAATAACTTTACCATATTGTAGTATACAATGAGCTTCAGTTCAAATGGGATGTTTTGCTCTTTTTCCTTTTTTTGCTGGTATTTACTATTATAACCAGTTGCAGATTCTAACTTGAAACCTTGAAAGTTGATTCTTCTCTTTTTCTTGTTGTACTAGTTGTATACTGCTACAGTATAATGCTCATTATTCTTCCCTTCTAGTGAAAGTACGACGACAACAACAACAACAACAACAACAACAACGACCCAGTAAAATTCCACTAGGGGGTCTGGGGAGGGTAGTGTGTACGCAGACCTTACTCCTACCCCGAGGGAGTAGAGAGGCTGTTTTATTTCTCTTAGTATTACATCCAAGTACACCTCTTTTATTGTGTATTGCCGCCAATGGTCAGTCTGCAACTTACAGTTTTGTCATTAGCCCTATTATAACATGATCTGTCATAAGTTCATTGTCTAAACATTTTACAGGGCCCAGAGACTGATCAACTAGCAGCTGCTTCAAAACTTGAATATGATGTTAACTTTTACCAGACGACAAATCTTAACGTGGCTAAGCTATTCAACATAGAATCCAATGCTAAACGCCCTGCTCTAGTCATGCTTAAAAAGGAACCAGAGAATGTCGTGCATTATGGTTAGCTACTCCTCTCATCTCTGTTTTTAAATACTGGAATTGAAGCTTGTCTTTGAGGGATGGTAAGAAGAGAGCCTTTAGGAATTTGACAACCATGCTGTATTATTTTAGTTGGGATTAATTTATGGTTCCTTTCATAGCTGCTTTCTTTCTATCAAGAAGTGAAAAAAGAAAGGATGTAAGGAGATATCCTTATTATTATTTTTTTCATTTTGCCCTTCAGATGGTCAATTCAGAAAATCTGCAATAGCTAAGTTTGTTTCTGCCAACAAGCTCCCTTTAGTGACAACTTTTACTAAGGAAAGCGCCCCTTCAATATTTGCTAGTCCAATTAAGAAGCAGGTAAGATTAGATCATTTATTTAACAACTATTATGACTTTTGTTTTGAAGTGTATCTTCCTCATCTAGGAATATGGTTAATGTATTGATTGTCCGCTATGTTCTACGTAGGTTTTGCTTTTTGCGACAGCAAATGATACGGATAAGTTGTTCCCAACATTTCAAGATGCTGCAAAACTTTTCAAGGGAAAGGTAATGAAGCTTTATTCAGTCTCAAACAGCATTGTCATATATTGCTTCTATACATAGAGTGGAAATGCTGTTAGAATGGGTTCCAAAAAGGGGTTTATAGACTAAATGGACGCTATCATCTAATATGTAATGCCGTTAGGTTGGACCCTTCTATTTAGTTTATAACAACTGATATTGGAGTAGGCTGATCAATGCTTGAGATCATGACTTGGAGTATGGTGTTTAAAGCCTTCGGTTTAAGAAGGTTGATGAACGCTAAAGATCATGATTTCTAAGTCTTCGGTCCTATCTATCATACATTTTACACCAAAACACCCAAATCTGTGATTCCTTTACTATTTGGTACTATCAATTAACTAACAGTGTGTAATTTTTGCCATGGACAAATGAAGCTAAACTTCGTATTTGTCAAAATGGACGACGATGAAGTTGGAAGACCAGTATCAGATTATTTTGGGGCTACTGGAGATGCTCCACAGGTAACACTTATTCGACATTATAATTGGGCACTATAAGAATATTTTTAGGAACCTTGGTTACTGAATGTGCAATTCTATCTTGATTGTTGATTTAATTCCTGTAGGTTATTGGATACATAGAAGATGAAAATCACCAGAAATTTATATTTGTTGGGGAGATAACACTCGAGAAGATTAAGGTAGATGGCCATGAATGGTTGTTAGGTGCATATAATTTTGGTTGAGAAGTTGTGGACTAACTTATTTATTGTCTTTTATTCCTCAGGCATTTGGAGATGATTTTCTAGAAGACAAGCTTAAACCTTTCTATAAATCAGATCCAATTCCTGAGACTGTAAGCTGCGATTTCGTTCCTGCAGTCCTACAACTCATCATATATATAGTTCTGATTCAAGTCTGTTTCATCTGTAATATCACAGAATGATGCGGATGTGAAAGTTGTAGTCGGGAACAATTTTGATGAAATCGTTCTAAACGAGTCAAAAGACGTGCTTCTTGAGGTATGTTCAAGAAATGAATTTTCTTTGGTTGGTTTTTGTAATCAACTCTGGGATCAAAGTTTTAGAATGCCTTTAAACATCTTTTTGTCAGATCTATGCACCATGGTGTAGGCCGTGCCAAGCTCTAGAACCAACTTTCAATAAACTTGCATACCACTTCCATGGCATTGAGTCTCTTGTTATAGCCAAAATGGATGGAACAAGAAACGAGCACCCTCGTGCTAAGGTATTTTACAATTAATATGTGGTTTGGATTTGAAGGACTAAGGTGCTTTTCATCATTCATTTGGTTGCAATAGTTTCAAATTAGCTTATTTAATTTAAGATTGACAGAGTATTTCTTGATTTAGATGAAAAGAGAAAATTTTGGTCATTTCTACTACTTTGCAGGTTAAAGGATTCCCAACTCTCCTCTTCTTCCCAGCGGGTTATAAGAGCATTGATCCTGTAAGTGACGTTTATTTTGTTTATTTTGGTGCGCTGTAAACTTAGCAAGATGCCAAATGTTATATTGTTTGTTTTTGTGATCGTACAGATACCAGTTGATACTGAACTTACTCTAGTGGCATTGTACAAGTTTACCGAGAAACATGCGACTATCCCTTTCAAGCTTCAGAGACCAGCTTCTTCTAACAAATCCGAGAGTTCTGCATCCAAAGCAAGTGCCGGGAGGGAGCCTAGCAACGTCAAAGATGAATTATGAGAAGAGTTTAACTTGTACACACTGACAATAGTTTTTCTATCCATAGTTAGATTGCCTTTTCTCTGGGACTATTTATGTAGTAACTATGTTTAGGATAGAATTAATTTTAAGAAAACTACTGAAGTTTGGATACTAGTTAAAATGAAACTGTACACAATAAACATCAAAATGGAACAAAGCCATCAAATGCCACTGTAAAGACAGTTCAGCAGTTCAACATTTACTTTCTAACAAGCCTGTATCATATTCAATCAGCTTCCTCCCAAAGGCAAGAAACAGGACTCGCCTCTTCTGTCTTGCTCAGATTCAAGAGTGTACTTCACCAGTTCACCTACTTACCAAATGTTCAATGTCCACACTGAGGACTAAGGATAAAGGTGAAACATAGATTGCAACTAGAAGCATCCCATATTTTCACTGATACTTTGATATCTTGCGATCTCCCATGAAGACTAAATGCACCATTTACAGAAAGTAACAATCAACCAATAGGAAAGAAAATCCATTTGCCAATAGCAACTTGTATACGATCACCTCAAGGCAGAGAGCTACGCAATATGTATCTATCCTACTGCTCCAGAAGAAGTCTAGCAGGTGACTTTGCATCCAGGTAAAGGGAATTAATTTCTTCCAGATCCGCCTGTCAAACAGAACAGGTAAGTAACACTTTCCCCAACTTCATATTCATACACCCAAAACAAATTTGATTGGTCAAGATTGATAGCTAAGATCTGGCCAAGTATCGAGAGAAACTTCCATCAAAAAACTGTCAAGACTTGCTTGATCATAAAAGAAACTGCCAAGACTTAATAAGGCAAGCAACAAAAATTCATCATAATAGCAAAACCTGTATAATTTCAGCTGGACCATAAGTTTCATTTCTTATAATCACCAACCGATCGATGTAATAAGTCAACTGGAATGCCATGTGGACTAGTCATACCTGTCCCTATGGAAAGAAAAACCTCTTGTTTTAAGTTATAACTGGCTCATCCCAGACATTAGAGTCATTTAAAGGGCGCATAAAGCTAAATTCTCTAAAGAGAAAACACAATTTACACCAAGCCAAATAAATGGAAATTTAAAAGTCAGGGATTAGTTGAACTTTTCCAACGTAACCACCCAGAGCATGTATTAACAGCCGAATAAGATACAACAAGTTTAGCCGTGATGTGCTGATTTTGATACTCTCATATCTCTAGCAGCTAAAAAGCTATAACCAAAATGGCCTATGTGAATAATTGGATGCATAAAACCACATAAGGAAAATAGTGGCTTTCTATAGTATTTTCCATATATTTCTACGGATACAAAATAGATGTAATGCAGAAAATAACAAGCACGGAATATTCTACAAGCACTATATTACAATATGCAATAGTTAGATATCAGATGCAAGGGGCCAGAAAGAAGCTTCAGTTTACAGCTGTTGGAACATCAGACAATCAAAGAAATTAATAAAATGGAGAACATGATAATTAATTTTTAAGCATGGCATGGAACAGAACCTCTTACCTGACATTACAGATACCTCTATCTGTGGCAAAAATCACAATCGGAAATAGTGAACTCTCCACAGCACGATTCAAGTACGAAAAGCATTCCATATCAAGCATATGTGCCTGCACACGAAATTTGTGTCGTTAACCAGGGCTGTAAAAGTATATAATGCCTAAATAGACATGAAATATATACACTAGAAATGAACCTCATCAATTGACTCCGGGAACAAGTTCTGCTACACTTTCGTCAATATAATGATTAACCACCTGCAAAAAAACCTGTATGAACATATCTATGTTTATCCTACTGGATGTAACTCCAGGAATTATAGACCATAATCAAGCATGCGGAAGAACATATGGCTATCGAAAGCACTAATTGGAACATAGCAAAGCACCTTGTTGATATCTTGGCGCAACTTGTCAGTAATTTCAGTTTTCCTAAGGTTTCGTCATTTGACCCATTAAAGACTATACATCTTGTCCTCCTTGAGGTCGTGCATTTGCAGCATCAAGATCATGCAATGTAACTTCCTGGCACAAAAAGAAACATTAGATGAAAGAAATGTAATTATATACGGATGTTTTCATGTCCCTCGTAACACATTTCCCTCCTAATAGGTCATTTAAGTAATGATATGGTTTTTCGCAACCAAAGCTACATTATTTGATATAAAAACAGGTAATATTCCTCTCCTTTAGGAAGTGGTACATACTCTTCTGCCTCGGGATCAAATTTTGTAGCAAAAGCATCACTCATATCCACTCTTTTAACTGCTCCACTATTTGCTTCAATGTGTATGACATCACCAACAGCTACCTGCGCATATATCATGGAGACAGGAGATGAGAACAGAATGAAGAGGTTTTCACTTGTCCTATATATCTTTTGAAGTCCTGCAATATAGATGCACGGATTATAGAATCTACAAGTGATATACCCTTTAATAATTAAAGCACTTCTATTCCTTCATTTACCTTTGTTATCTGTTATTTTGGTTGTTTAAAAGCTAAAACTAAGTTGATGATTGTGTTTGTGGTTCTTGCTCTTTTCTCATGACATACCTTTTGCAGCCATTGTTTATTTATGAATGCTTATGATTAGAGGTATCTCGTGCTATGTTGTTTTTAAAAATAAAACTTAAATATCGGGTAGCTTCTAGTGTCCGTATACTGTTATACTATGTGTTATTCTAAAATTGACCATTGCAGACTTGTCAATTAAATTAGATAAGACATTGATGAAGTGACACACTTGCAAAGATTGGGAGTCCACTTATTTGCTAATTGCCTACAGTACAACATGCTAAGTCACTAAGATGCTAAGATTATACTACAAGCTTAGATTAACCTGTCTTTCTGCCTGTTCAAAAAGGAATAATGATGAAAATGCATTTACAGTTTCAAGTATCATCTTTGTCATAATAACTTTGACCCTGTGCTTTGTCGATTTGTTTGGAATATTAACTAAGCATGGTTTTCTTTTGATGCTTCACGAGTCGACCAAGTCTGAAAAGAAAGTAATTGTTGCTGTAAAGCAAGGGAACTTGCTAGCTACTGCTTTTTACCCGAGTTAACAGCAGAGTTTTACGTGGAAATCTCCCAGTTCACGGAATTAAAAACCACGGCCTGCACTTGCAGGATTTCAACTTCACTAACCGAGCGGGTTCATATTATAACCTATTGTAACCTAAGAATTAACATTTTAATCCCTTGCTCACTTGTAATAACTCTATTACAAGCTTTTTTGTAATAACTCTATTACAAAGCTCACAACTCGACTAACTCTAGTCAAGACACAAACACGAAGGTTTATAGTTTTACAAAGGTTTCCTACACAATGCTTCTAGCTAAGCTAAGTAGGAATTACAAGTAAATCACTTTAATAAAGGTACAACATAACTCAGGACATATAATAACTCAATGTAGGAAACTGATCCTTCGTTATGATGTTCTCTGTTCTTGAAGCCCTGAATGTCACTTGCAAGTTGGCAACACCTTTGAGAGCTTAATGAATTTTGGAATATGCAAGTGCGTTATTTTCCTTTTGCTTCATGTTAATATTACACAAGTGACATCACTTGAATGATGCAAGTATGTCTGGTACAAGGGCATTCCCCATAAAGTGACTGCTACACTGTTTGCGTTGTTGCGTGTGTGCAGATAAACAGTTGCAGCGACTTTACAGTTGTGGGGGTTGACTGGTACAGTCAGCAAGGGAACTGATGTCCATCTGTTTCCACAGTTGTTTCTTTGACTCTGAGTGAACATGTCCCAGACTTGAGACATGTTGATCTTGAGTACTTTGAGGATGTGGAGCAGGTTCCATATCTGGTTCTTAAAATTAAGTTTGTTAGATCGCCAAAACATAACAGGACACATAACCTATCAATTTCCCCCTTTTTGATGATGACAAACTTGTAATTGAAATTCCCCTTGAGAACCAGCGTACCATAAATATTTTCTGTATTCCCCCTGAACCTGTTCGCTCTCATTTCCTGTATATGCCCTCAATTACTTTTCCCCCTTTTGGTATCATAAAAAGATCAGTAACAAGTAATAATAAGCAAAAAAGAAGTCTAGCATGCTTGACTCATGCCACATGTGTGCACACAAACATGACTAAGAAGAGATCATAAGAGCAAGGCATACATAGCAAAAGGATGCGATATTAATTAATTTGGAAATAAACAGGGAGCAGAATTAGCAGTACCATTTGTTACATAGACATCCATAAAATAAAACAACAAAAAAAGTACCAGACACTAAACACATCAAAATAAAAGGACCAAAGTAGAGAACAAACAACTTAAACTGGGAAGGGAACGATTTTAACGAGCACTGGAAGGGGGAGGCACATATAAAGAGGGAAGGGTTCTAAGAAGGATATCCATTCTAGCATTTGCTGTTGTCTGCTCGTTAAGCAACCTCTGTGCCTTGTATACTGTTGGAACCAGGTGCCTCTTGAACCCGACTAAGCTGACCCTCGAGAATAGCGTTTCGGGCCTTCAGCTACCTTATCTCTTCATTGGCAATATTCTGAGCTTCAATCAGTTGAAAGATAGTTGGACTGCAGCCAACCCTCCATTTTTATCAATGCACTTACACTTTTCTAAGGTTGTCTTGGAGAAGGTTTGCTTGCGAGTACCCACATTAGCCTTTACCAAAGGGGCTTTGAAGAAGTCAAATACTTTAGTGAGTAGGAACCCATAAGGCAACCCATGATTACCATTCTTAAAATCTGCCACTTTCTTTATATGCTCTATCATGAGACCAGGCAGGTTTATAGTGGTGTAACCATTTAGTGCTTCCCTGAGAAACAAGTCTGCTCGTGATGTAATGGAACGTCTTTCTGCATTTGGGAGCAAAACTTTTTTCACCATATCAAACATCAATGGTACATCGGAAGGAGGGCCATTTTGTGTACCCGTCCCCCATGCTGCACTGCATTATCCTTCAAGATGTCATTTCTGAAGTTTGGAGAACAAGTCCCCTCATGGAGGATATTCTGCCAGAGGCACTCCCAAAATGGTTCCCAATACAGCCTCATCCATCACAAAGTCAACACCATTCACCTTCATGCAGATGTTGTCATCCTCTACTGTGAAAAAGTCGGCATAGAAATTGCACACCTCTGCCTCATACACCTTAGGACTCTCATTTGTGAACAAATGTGTCCACTGTTGAAATTCATAGA